GACAAGGTCTTACTATGTAGTCCAGGCTGACCTTAGATTTACTACATAGCCCAGACTCATGATGATTGTCTTGGTTACTTTTCTGTCCTTGCTGAGACAAAATACCCTATGCCCAAAATTAAGGAAGGAAAGGTTTAGTTAGCTCACTGTTTGTTGAGGTTTCAGTCCATACTTGGCTGGCTCCAAGGCAGGGTGGCACATGGCAGAGGGCAACTGTTCAAGGTGGTAAAAAACAGCAAAAACAGCAAGAGCAAAAAGGGAGGAGCAGCAGAGAGCAAGGCTCTTTCCCTCCCTTACATTTTATGTAAACTCCCCACCCTAGGGCGGGTGCAGCACTCATGCCCATAATCCCAGCACTGGGTCAATCATAAACTCTAGAAGCTCGCCCATGACTGCATGAGGCTTTGGGGGGACCTCCAAGCACAAGCCATACCAGTGATCTTCTTGCCTCAGCTTCCTAAACACTGGGATTACAGGCATGCGCCTCCATGCCAGGCCCTCTTCTGGATTTCTAAAGCTTTAATTCATTGCATGATTGTACATCATTGCCAGTTAGAACTCTGAGAAGTCTCAGAACTTTATAGGTATATCTTCTCCTCAAAACTGTCAGCGTTTTCTCTCCAGTTTTGGAATTCTATAAATCCATGAGGAAGCCACACAGGTCGTCCCCAGCAGTGACAGTGCAGGTCCGGCTCCGGCTGCCTGGCACTTGGTCTCGGAGGCCCCACCAGGGAATCAGTGGGGACGCTGCTGTGTCCCAAGTGGACACATCCCTCGGAGGGCCGTGCTGTCCCTCCGCGGGGGCCGCCCTCCCTGTGGCTCTGGGCACTTCCTCTGCCCCTCCGGGGGCCAGTGGTCGTCCGTTCACGGTAACCTCAAGCCTTCACTCCAAGGTTGTTTACCTCCTCGGGGACACTGGCGACTTCCTGCGTGGTGGCACCGCTCCAGAGCGATCTTGGACCAGGTCTAGTTCCAGAACAATCAACTCTAAGTTGTTTAAAAAGGCTGTGTACATTAAAATAGCCATAAATCACGGTAATGAATCTTGCAGCGTGGGGAGAAATCCATTACCCATCTGATCCACAGGGCCATTACTTGAGGACTCCACACTGTGTGGCGGGCATAAAACGCAGAGTTAACAAACTGCCCTGTAAGCAGCGTTGCCCATGGGGCGGAGGGGAAGGAGCCCACCCAGCTCTCCAACATGCCCATGCTTTATTATTATAGAATTTCTTGGGGCCAACAGTTCAGCCGGGAGGATTTATAAACACATCATCTGGCTCTTGGAAGGATTTCAGTGTGATTTGCTGGCCCTTCAACCAAGGTGAATTGGGGATGTGGTCCCTGCGGGACAATAAAAAAGAGAAGAGTGTGGTCTGCGTGTGTGAGGATTCGTGGCCACGCCCAGAGGAGCGGGACTGTCCAGGACGTCCCAAGTCCGACCCAGACGCTTGCTGTGGCCTGCGGCTGCCTGCCGGGCAGCCCAAGGTCGGCTGCGCCCACGGCTCGCAGCTGCAGTGAAGAGCTGGCGCTGGGCAGCCCTCATTTGATTTCCATTTGCAAATGAGCAGGGCGATTTCTCCGCTTACCCTTGTGATTAACCGCCAGCGACGGCACCGCGCAGACACGCGAGCTGCCCCAGTTACGGGCTTCCCGAGCCGGATGCTTCAGAAATGCCCCGTCCCCAGGCGCGGGCTCGGGCCTGACCTTGCATCGGGGTCAGGCTGACTCCTGGAGGGACCTCTTCTTTCCCAGCATTAGACCGGCCTCAGGGTCTCCCAAGGGGCCACTGTGGGATCACCTGGGTGACTTTCATGCCAAACACAGCGTGGTGGCTGCTGACTGCTGACCTGTGGCAAAACGCAGCAGGGTCATCGATTTGGTCAAGACACTGCCCAGAAGGGAGCAAGTCACCTAGGCGACTTGAACGTTCCGATTTCCCCACTGAGCGCCAGAGTTTTCAGTGCACCTGCTGGGGGCAGGGCTGGGGGTCACTGTGGGAGGCCGTGTGGAGCTGCTGCTGGGGTGCTATGGGGCACAGTCCCCAGCTCAGGGCGTGTCCTCAGCCCCAGGCTGCCCCAGATGGGAGCCAGGGGCCAAGACACGCAGGGACGGCTGTCAATGGAGGAGAAAAGCGAACCTGGGCAAGGAAAGGAGGGAACGCCGTCGTGTGCACGTTTCACGCCCTGCACAAACCTGGCTGTGAGGGGTCTGCTCGCGCCCTTTGGGCTGGAACAGGTGTTCATCCTCGCCCAGGCCCCAGTGGGCCAGGGGCAGCGGGGGACAGGAATGAGGCTGGTGGGAGGTACTGCGCGACCGCACCATGACAGCACAGATAGGAAATCAGGTGTGGTGGCAGTGAGGACCTTCGGGGCCTGGCCGTGCACTGCCACTGACGCCGCGCCCAGCACACCCCAGGGCAGGGCGTCCTTTAACCCTGCACCCTCTGAAGCCCGCTGTCTGAACCCGACCCTCCGCTGGCCAGGGCGAGCTCTGTTTAGTTGCGGCAGCACACTGCGTGCCCATCGAGCCCTTCCGCCCGGAGCCGCAGGTCCAGCCAACCCACCGGCAGCCAGCGCCGCTCTTCGGCAAGTGCTCCCTCTCTGTTCCGCTTCTGCTCCTCTCTGGAATTCCAGCTCACCGAACATTCCACTTTCTGAGTCGTCCTCTAATTTCTGGGAGTTTGGCTTGGTTTGTTGTGTGTGCTGGGGATTCAATGCAGAGTCTTTGTACTGAGCTGCATCCCCAGCCCTTTCTTTTCTTTTCTTTTTTTTTTTTTGTCTTTTTGAGACAGGGTCTCACTATGCAGTTCAGGCTCACCTTGAACTCACTTTGTAGCCCAGGCTGGCCTTGAACTCACTTTGTAGCCCAGGCTGGCCTTGAACTCACAAAGATCCTCCTGCCTCAGCCTCCCGAGTGCTGGGATTACAGGCGTGCCCCACCATGCCCGTCCCCCAGCCCTTTCTATTTCTTGAGACAAGTTCTGACTAAGTCACCAGTTTCACAGGCTGATCTCAAATTTGTGATCCTTCTGCCTCAGCCTCCCAGAGTGCTGGAATTACAGGCATGCACTTCCGGGCCTAGCCTAGTTCTTATTTCTCTTCTACTCCATCTCCTCTTTTTGTACTTTTTCCGTTAGAGATTTGCTCAACATTCTTATCCAAACTTTCCGCACGTTTCCTTCAGCTCCCCGTATTATCAGTTCTGACCGCAGGCAACCGCTCCCCTCCTTAAATCCGCCTCCAACGTCTTCTCTGCTTTCAGGGTGCTGACTATCACAGGGCGGGTTCCCGGTTTCTTCTGTCCTCTGTGACGCCCTCTCTTCTCAGACCTCCTCCTCCTTCTTTTGATCTCCGTCTTCACAGAGCAGGCTTTTCCCCCGTCCTGCGCCCCTGCTGCCGTCAACGCCCATGGGGTGAAGCACTAAAACTGACAGTGGGGCGGGTGCGGCTCTGGCGAGAGCTTGCCAGGCTCTGCGGGGCCGGGGCCCCATCTGCAGCACGGCAGAGAAAGGTGGAACAGGACAGACACAAGTTCTCCCCAAGGAGGAGGATTTCCTTTCCGCCCGTGCGCCTGGGCTTGCCTCAGTGACTTCCTTCACCAGGAGAAAGTGGGAGAAGTGAGTTCTGAAGCTGCCAGGTGGCCAGCTGGCCTGGGGACACCGCCCCTCCTGCCTGGGGCCCAAGGGAGAGGGCACAGCCGCCTCCTCCAGGCCAGGTGTTCCCGGGGAAGGGGCCTCTCTAGTACAGCTTCTCCAGGGGAAGTCTGCGGTCTCCTTCCGTGGAAGAGGGGACACGTGGCCTCTTTCTAAACCATCCTGTGTTGATGCACACAGGAGGAGTCGCTCAACAGCATCATTTCCTGGAGAGTGGCAGATGGAAGCAGGGTAGACGCTGTCACTGTGCACCTACTTGAAGGGATACGTAACAGCAGGAATGACACCACACGCTGGGGAGGATGCAGAGAAGCAGGCTTACTCGTGCGCATCACTGTTGGGACGTGCGGGTCCTGCCGCAGGGGATCAAGCTTGGCGGTTCCCTTTGAAGTGTGGACTTACCACACCACCCTGCCAGCGCACCCTTGGATGTGCCCTCCTGAGAAATGAAGACATCTTCACAGAAAAGCTTGCCCTGATGCTCATAGCGGCTTCGTCTGCAATGGTCCCACACCGGAAACCACCTCGGCATCCTTCGGTGAACAGTGAAATAAACCGAGGCACATCCGTACCATGCAACAACGCTTAGCAACAAACAGGAACGAATCATTTGCTGTGCCTTAAAGTGTGCCTCACACTGGTGTGAGAGCAGATCTCTAAAGTGTGCGTACCGTTGGGCAGCACCACGCCCACCTACACACGTGTGCACACACGTGCAGCCAGCGATAGCAAATTCAAGGTCTGGGTTGTACCCATGTCAGTGTCCTGGTTTAGATGCCGAAGTGTGGGAAATTCTGGGTGGGAGTGACAGGAACTTCTATACATTTCTTTGCAACTTCCTGTGAATCAATAATTATTGCAAAATTAAAAGTCATTTTAAAAATAGGCTTGGCTTACGGTCAAGGATACATAAACACTAAGTTTCAAGAAGGAGTGGACAGCCCTCTTGATTCCATCAAAGGCCCTCGGTTTATGCCCCTCAGCCTGCGTCCGTCAGAGGCAGAGACCTCTCCCACCCAAGATCTGTTCTGCCTTCTTCAGTATCCGAGCCCTTGATTCTAACTGGGGGTTTTGCCACCCAGAATAAAGATGAGCTCTTCCTGTGTCTTTGGGGTCTGGGCTCATAAGGGGGATCTCTGTGGTCGCTAGAATACACTTGGCGGAAGAGGTGTGTCCTTTTGCCTCTCCCTGCTCCCCAGAGTGCAGGTGTGATGGCTGGAACTCGTGCAGCCTCTTGGGAAGTAGGGGCCACTGTAATTCTGGGCTTTTCTCCCTCGTGGTCAAATCTTTTCCTCACTTAGATCCCGCTCAGTTCTGCAGACACCAACCCCAGCCCCACCAAACTCATCCTTCTCCTTCTGCCCAAGCGATGGTCCTTCCTCTTTCTCTCTGTCAGCACAATCCTGCCTCTCCAGAAGCGCCCCCTGAGCTGCAGCCCCGGTGAGCTGAAAGGCCCTGTGTGATTGTCTTCCTTTCCTGAGTGTGCAGGAAGGCGGCAGTTGGCTCCCGTGACCTGCAGGTGAGCACTCCGATGAAGAGGAGGATTTCGGGGAGTGTGCTTGGGCCTGAGCTTGGGGCGTCTCTGTGTGAAGCACAGGTGAGAAGTGGGTGTGAGTGGAGAAAAAAGCACACTCAAAGAGCTGAGCTCTCTGAAGTGGTTCAAGAGGAGGCGAAGAGACCCTGTGAGCTCAAAGATGACAGCCAGAAAGTGCCGCTAGCAAACTGACCATGCAGTCACGGAAGGAGCAAATAAACGTGGGAAGAGCTGCCTGGCAGGGGCGCCCGGCAGGGGGATGCGAGGGGGCAGTTACACAATGACTGGAGAGGGCCCGCCTTAGGCAGGGCCGGCTGAGGCCTGGATCAGGAGGAGAGGGAGCGAGAAGTAGGACAGAGCAACCGGGGCGGCTCCGGCTCTCGGTCATGAAGGGTGGTGGAGCGGCTGTACGTGTGTCGCAAGGAGAATCAGGCTCAGGCACATGGAGCTCTCGGTGTTAATTGGGCCCAGAGGGCAGCCTGGGAGTGTCCTGGACCCCTGCACCCACCCCCGAGCCTCCCGCCCCAGCTCACCCAGCACCGACCCTCGCGGGAAGCAAAGTGTGCAGCAGGCCCACCTGGCCCTCGTGGAAGGGAGGGGCCCCCTGTGCCGGGTTGGGATCTTGGTGCTTCTCTGTGGACTGGCAGTGCCTTGAGCACCTGGGCCCGCCTGGGCCTGGGGCGCTCTGTGGTCTGGGAGGGGGCACACGGCGAATGGAAGGGCAGCTCGGGGCACCGGAGGGGCGCGGGGAGGGACAGGCTCTGCACGGAGCAGAGGAACAGCCAGCAGCTCCGTCGGCTCCCCACATCCCACGCCCCTCCCGCCCTCTTCATTCATCAGCCCGTGACCCGAAATCACGACGTAATTAGCTCGGGGTCAGGGAAGTCCGCTGGCGAGGTGCCGGGAGGCGGCTGAGGCTCAGAGATTGCCAGGCGCTTGGGCAAGGCCACACAGCAGGTTCGCAGCGACAGGCAACACAGTTTTGTTTTGGTTTTTGTTTTTTTCTTCAAAAATCACACTTCTGTGCTTTAGAACTTGAGGCGGTTGGTTGTGAACAGCTCTGGTGTCTAAGCACTCGCATGGCCAGACTGTCCCAGAACGAGGCCCCTCTTCCCTCACTGAGGCCCTCTGACAAGATTTAGTGAAGCCGAGTGAACCTTGGTTCAACCTTGCTCGCAGGTTCTAAGTGGCTGCTCCGTGGAAGACATTTAACTAAAAGCCCTCTCCGTGGAACCAGCTCCTGCAGGCACCCTGCCAGCAATTAATGAAAGATGATAAAATAATAAAAGAAGTAATACATTAACTATATTATGCGCGCACACTCGGCCAGGCCTTTGCATTATATCCTCCTTATGGACGGTCTCCAGCAGCCTGGAGCAGCTGCCTTATTGCTGTGCAGGGGTGGCCGAGGAGCCCAGACATTCCTGGGCTGCCTCAGTGCTGTCACTGGGGCCCTGCGCCCTCTCTGGGTGGGCGTGTGTGGCCTGGGGCACACGCGCATGTGTGTGTGTGCGTGTGACTGTGCGCCTGTGTGCGCTCACCTCACACCTCCCCCGCGTGCTGGGACGGCGACCTGCGTGAGGACTGGGGAGGGCAGACCTCACCCCTGGATTCAGCCTCGGGGAGGAATCTGCTTGCTAATTAGGAGAAGTGATGCAATTGGCCTCCTGTCATTTGCGTATAGAACAGCTTGGTCTGGAAGCTGGGTGTTCCGCGGAGCCGGGATTTCCAGGTCACCGGCGCTGGCGTGACACGGGGGCCTTGTACCTGTGCACATACCTCAGCGTCCCTCTCCTCCACCCAGCTGCCCCCTCCTGCCTCCATCCAAGGGCTTCTCTAACACCGGGGCTGAAGTCATGGCCATGCACTGCTTCTGAGGCTCAGGCCTGTCACCACTGCGAGCTGGAGAAGGGGGATCACGCCCGCTAAAACCAGCTCCCTGACAGGCCTGTCCATTGTGGCCCATGTGGGATCTCAGCCCACCTATGACCCAGTTCAGACAAATGAGGTGTAGGCAGAGGTATGGCAGTGATTTCTGGGATTGATCCCAGTAACAGTGCTGACCAGTGAGGGGTGAGGAGAAGCACCATGTGACAGTGCTGACCACAGTGCTGACCACAGTGCTGACCAAGAGAGGAGGGGTCGGGCTCACGGGATGTCTGGGAAGTTGCGCCAGCTGGAAACCGCAAGTGCTCCTTCCTCCCTGGGTGTCCCTTCCTCTCCTCTGCCTCAGGTCCTGTCTTCCCCTTGCCCAGCACCCAGGCCGGTGTGTCTTCTGGGTGGGCGGCCTGCACCTTGTCACCATGAGGCAGAAAGTATGAGAACGGAGCACAAGGAAAGAGACCCAGAGGTAGAAGCACAAGAAAACAGACTCAGAGGACTGGCAGCTGGTTTGAGCTGCTGCCTTGGCGAGGCTCCTGTCTCGGCCTTCTTGTAGTTTGGACAGAGGGTTCCAGCTTTCTCTGCCTTGCGGCAGGTTGCCTTCCTCATGAAGATGGCATCTTGGGTTTTTTATTTTGTTTTGTTTCTGTCTTGTTGAGACAGGGTCTTGCTATGCAGTTCAGGCTGGCCTTGAGCTCACTTTGTAGCCCAGGCTGGTCTGGGACTCATAGCAGTCCTCCTGCCTCAGCCTCCCAAGTGCTGGTATTACAGGCATGCGCCACCATGCCTGGCAAAGATGGTATCTTGTATCTTAGACATGCAGTGGCCACGCCATGAGCTTGTGGGGGAGGGGCCTTGCAGGGCCACCTTGGCCGGAGCAGCCTCCTCTGCAGGCCTTTCCCCATCTCCTAACTTGGAACTTTGTCCCCTGACCTTGGCTTGGCTGGAAACCCCTCTCTTCCCCAGCACACTGCTGGCTTCCTGTCCTGACAGTGTCCATGAGGGAGGGGGAAGCCCCACTACTGGACCCGGGGCTGGATTCCTGTAGGCCTCAGGGAAGTGCTGTGAAGGCAGGAGGAAGTCTGTCATCTCCAAAACGCGTTTGGAACTGACTTTGCGATTTCAGGTTCCAAGTACACGCATATTTTTATCAAGACCTCAGTTTCCCACCCTGGCGTGAATGCCCCCTTTGCCTAACTGTGCTTCTCGGGACCCTGGGAGCTGGTGCTGCTGGCTGTGGCTCCAGAGTCAGCCACCACCCTCTGCTCAGGCCTGCCCCATCTTTCCCGCAGAGCAGAGCAGTCCAGGCTGAGGCGGGAAGACAGGAGTGCTGGGAAGCACGGCTGCCAGCCCAGCAAGGAGGGGTTGTTGGCCCTGCCAGGCCAGCCAGGAATGACGGTGACTGAGAGCGCGTCTGGAACTGGAGGAAGGGCTGAGCTCTGTCCGAACTGCAGGCTTGACCTGCTCCCCCTGCTCACAGGACCGTCTGAAACGTGCCCCCGAGCTCCGCGCATCTGTGGGTGCTCCCTCCTGGACCCCTTGGCTTTGCCCTCGCTGGCTGAGCTGGTCTCGCCGTTGCTTTCCGTGGCCCCCCATGGGCACCAGCACCATCCTGATGGGACAGCTCCACTCTGGGTGTCCTGACCCGGGCTTGGTCCTGAGCCCGGTGAATGCCGGCAGTGCCGTTCAGGGGACAGGAGGGGGCCTGTGAGTTGCCGTTAGAAATCCTGCCTGAGAACCGTCATGTGGGGCTCTGCCTGCCGTGAGGCGTGCCCTCGCGGCTGTCTGCTAGAAAGACCTAACCTAAATCCAGGGGTGTCTGTGAGCATAACTTTGCTTGAGGAATAAAACAGGCTCTCGCCCCTAAATTGCCAGCGAGAGAGAGTGCTTGTTAAGCTTGACGATCTGGGAAACTGCTTTGCTTGGGAGTGAACTGTGTGGTTCATGTTTCTGACATTACATTTTGGGGTGGGTATTCTTAGGTACCCTTGGGTCCTTTTCACTTTGAGCTTGGAGGAAACCCTCCTAACCTTTCAATTTGGAGCTCTCAGATCATTCACTACGGGAATCAGAAAGCTTTGCCAGCCTGGAGGGGAATGTCAATTAACTGTCAATTCTTCACATTGAATAATTGATTAATTGGCACAATGTTAATCTCTGAATCAGTGGTAATAAATTACTTGGTTCATAATCTTGACCTTCAGAGTGCTAAAACTCTTCAAGTTGCCACTGTCCCTGCGGGAGAGTGACTGATGGAGACGCACCCGCCCACGAGGTGTGCTGCTCCCCAACTTCCTGCCTGCCTGAGACCCGCTGCGGCGCCTGGAGCCAGCTCCGTGCCCTCCGGCCTGGGCCCGGCGTCCGCCAGGTGGCCCCAGTGGAAACTGGGCCACTGCCCTGGCAGCAGCACACTCAGCTAATGACTTCTTTTTTTGCACACCTAATCACTTTGATATCATACAGAGTTAATTTGAATGGTGCCCTATTTATCGCAAAATTTACAGCTGAGACGCTGGGAAGTGCTCTTCCCGCTTTTTCTCACTTGTGAGGCGGACAGAGGCAGCTCTGCTCCGATTCTCCTGGTGTCTGCTTCCCACTCCAAGCCCCACGTTCTGCTCGCCCACAGCGTGTGGCTGGTGAGGAACCTGTCTGCCGGCCCCGGCGGCTTCGAGAGGTTGTGTCTTCATGATCCGACGGACGGGTGTGGCTCCTGCGTGTTTGCTCCAACAGGGGCTTGATTTTGGTGGCGTGGAGCCGAACTTGTGAAGGGGACCAGCTGGCCTCACCCCAGCTCCCTGCTCTGGTCCCAACCCTCCCCTCTTCCCCGGTGAGGGACAGCAGGCATCCAGCGTGTGTTTGAAGGGTGCACCTTTCAGGACCACTGGGACCCCACAAGTCCCCGTGGGGAACAAGCTGCTGTCCCTGGGGCCCTTCTTCACCCTGCTCTGGGGACCCTGCTACACTGGGGCTGGGTGTGAGGCTTCCAAGCCACGCTTACTCAGCTCAGCATCCACCAGGATGGGCCAAATGAAGGAAGAACTGCTTCTCTGCCCAGCAATTCAAAGTCATCCTTCTCAACAGTTGAGCTATTTCGGTGAAATACG